GATATCTAAATGAGCACGGAATATACAGCAATTTTATTAAGGCGAGGCAGTGAATATTTATCAGTTTGCCTACTAATTTTTATCACGTACTGAAGCTGGGCCCGTTTATAAGCAGTCAAACAAACACAGTTTTAATTGTCCTACAGGCTTGCCTAGGTGATAACCGGGCAGAATCCTATAGACATGGTATATAAATGTTAATTAGCACGCAATTATTAACCAGCGATTGATTTAAACATGCGGATTTTTATCTTTTGGACCCTATGGGCATGATTTCTAGGTGCTTAAACTGATTACAAACATTATTTCACGGCATAGAAATTGATTTTATACACGTTCCCTATAGGCATGATATCTAAGTTGTCAAAACTGATTTTAAATATGATTTCCTATGGACATGATATCTTAGTATTCATGCTAATTTCAAACATGATTTCCTATGGACATGATATCTAAGTGAGTAGAATGTTATATGAGTTGATAATTCCCAAAAAAGATCCTATCGTCATGGTTTCTAATGCACATTGAAACTTGAGAATATGCATGAACATGAATTTTGATACATAATTGATAAACGTCCTATAAATGGATTTCTAGGATGTAAAGTAGAAATTCAGGACAAATATGAAGATAAGGCCTATAGGCATGGTTTCTAATGCATATAAATAATCACAACAATCCTATAGGCATGATTTCTACCCGATCCCAACAAAGATATATAAAAATCCCTCCCAGCTTTACTAATAACCCCATATTTGTTTTTACAAGAATTATTATTACAGACCAAAACAAATGAATCATATAATGAAATTACTATACTATAGGGAGCCTTGACAAGCCCAAAAGTAAACCTGGAAGTCAGGCCTTCAATCAAATCTGGAGTCCAACAGTTAGTCCATAATACATCAAATGGGCTTCTGGTGTGTCAAAGTTCCCAAGAGCCTCAGGGACCCTGGGCAATGCTCACACTAGAACCTTTTCAAAGAAGTAGTTTTTGTAAACAAGTTTGGAAATGCCAGCCCCAGTGTGTCAGAAATCGGAGGAGTTCCATCGACTCCTAGGCAGTGCTCACATTGGAGGGGCAGGACCCTAGATATCTAAGAGTAGGAGTTGAAAATAGTATATGAAAGTAGGAGATAGTTTTAGGAAAAAACAATTTGGATTTTTAGAAGTGAATAGAAACAGGTCGCAAGATCAAAAACTACAAACAGAACCACATTTAACAGATTGAGTCCAGATATGAATTCCAATAGTTACAATCACCAGAGACACTGGAATCATAGACAAACCAGAGTCACAATGAAGTCAAATAAGGCTTCACGTGGTTGGAATTGACATAGTCCCTTAACTATTACTAGGTAAGCATATAGACATGTATTAAACAGAGACACGTGCTGAAATCAAAATGGCTAATCAAACTACCATACAGAACAGAGTGGGGCAGTAGGAATTATACATGCTAGTTTCAGAATGAGTAAACCAGTATAATGGGCAAAACAGGGACATGCTATCATATACAACAGGACAGAACTTAAGTCATGACGATTAAGAGAAACATAGGGCAGAACAGAAGCATGTTGGAACACTAACCACACAGCCACATGGGACAAAGAGGTAACAAGACTAAAGCATACTAGTTAAATAAACAAGAAGCATATAATAAACATGCACATGTTGAGGTTCAGAGTGAACTAATCATATAAGCCATAGAGAAAGGGAACTGAAGCATAGTAGTTGAGAAGGAGATGGCTAGGAGACAAGTATCAAAGCAGAAGTATACAGAGACATGTAGCACATAGAAGAGATTATGATAACAGAAATAGGGGCATACCAGTTAAGAGATAGCAAACAAGAAGGTGAAGGCAAGTTGAATCCAATAGTCTAGCCTTGGCTTTCAACCGGCTAGACAGTGCAGCAAACACAAGTAACAGAAAGAATTACAATGGAGAGTGTGTGTGTGAATAAGAGTTTGTGTGTGTGTTTTTGTATCTTTCTGAGTGTGCTCGTGTGTTTGAAAGAAATCAGAATGGGGTTTATGTAGCACTTAGCAAGGTAAAACAAATAAGGCAAAGAATAATAGAGTTCATAAATAAGGTATACAAATAAAAATCAGTAGTTAATTGGGGCTAAACCCAACTAATTAGTGCAAACAGAATCCGGGAAAGACACCTTAAAATAAGGGGAATCAATTACCGGCCCCAGATTGGGATTCAAATAAGGCAGGAAATAAGTCATATGCCATTTATAAGTCGGTTAGAGTAAATCAAAACCTAGAAATTAGACTAATAAACTAATTAAGGCAAGTAGTACCAATTAGGAGTCATAAATAAGAAAAATAGTTAAAAATCACAGAGAAGTACTAATTTCAACAGAAAAATATGATTACAAGCCCTAATTAGGCTATTAAAATTAATTATCCTCTGAACTAATTGACAGGACAAAGAATAACGGGCAAATATTGAAGCGAACAGTGAAATAATTAAACAAACAAGGGATTAGAACATAGGCATGAAAAAATAGTAGAACTAGTAAACATAATCAAATTCAAAAACTTAGAAACTTTAAAACATTTTTGCAGAGAACTTAAGAGGAAACCCTAGTTTTAGAAAACATTGAAATCGATTAATAATAAGGAAAAACATAAGGTTTTTCAAAAAAAATACCAGATAAACTTAAGATCATCTCAGATCTACAAGGATCTGAACAGACTCACGTAGAAAGAGATTAGGGTTTTGAAAAATGGAGCGAGATGAGAAAAATCCAGTTAAGAACCGGAGTTTCAAGCCATAATCATAAAGATAACAATACTCACAAACATAGCGATGAACACAAGGCAGTTCACCAAAAATAAAGAGTTTAGGTTGACTCTAAGTTGAGTCTTTTGAGATTCCTTCAAACCACGAAGAAATCGAACAAACAGAAGAGGTAAGAGGCCGGCGGGGGCTTGAAATCATAGAGAAATCCCATGGAACGGGGTGTTTTCCAGTGACGGCGGCTAGGGTTAGGGGAGAGCTTGAGAGAGAAGAAAGGAGAAAAGGGAAACAGAGGCAGCGGAATGGAGAAAGTGAGTAGGGTTTGGGGATGGGAGATTAATTAAAAATGGTAACTCTTTCCAGGACTATTGATCTCTGAGACCAACTGCCATGATTTGATTTGGGGGTTGAACGGGTTTTATGAAATAAGTCAGGATATTTGGGCTGTGGGTATTTTAATTGGGCTGGGGGTAATGTTTTGGGCTAGGTCCGAAATCAAAATAAATTTAAAGAGGCTATTTGTTAAATACTCAATTAATTGATAAAATAATTTTTGAAAATAGATAATAAATGATAAAAAAATATTTTTGGTGCATAAAAATGACTTTAAATAATTACTTAATATTATAATAATATAAAAAGTTATTTTCTGGTGAAATAAAGTAATTATGCACACATGGGCTATTATTGCAAAGTTATTGCAATTATAACCCTAAAAATATAAATGTGGTTATTCATGTAATAATTAAAGCTTAGTATAAATATAAATAATAAAAATTAAGCAGTAAATTATTATAAAATCATTTGTGATGCAATTAGTAATTATTTATATAAAAAATACTAGGATAAATTAATAAAATCCTTAGAAAAATGCAGAAATCAGGAAAGATATCAATTGATGCTCATGCATGGTTTTAAAGATGTATATACATTTTTGAAAATAGTATAGGAAAATAGATTCAAGGGCCTCTGAAAATATGTGTTTTGATTCAAATGTTTTTATTTCACTTACCCCTCTCCTGTGTCCCTACACATTAACCTTCCCGATTCCTCTAGGATAACACTCACTCACATAGGAAAGATATCCATTCTTCCTAACTATGTTTTGGAGAGAGTTATTTATGTACCTACATTCAGATACAATTTGTTGTTTGTTAATAGGTTTTGTTCACAGTTTCTTTGCATCATCTCATTCTCTTCTAATCAATGTCTATTGCAGGCCTCTTTAATAAAGAGTGCTCAAGTTTTTGGTGAAGCAAGAGATGGATTATATCTATTAGAACCCACTGCTATCAACTCTAGGAATAGTAATCAAGAAAATATAGCTTCATCTCTTAAGCATAGTGATTCTGTTCAGATTTCGGTACCTTTTCCTTTTTCTGCAAATGCTATCTCTGATGTAAACCTTTGGCACATTAGATTAGGCCATTTGCCTTTTTCATCAACGAAACACTTCAGTTTTATCTCTTTCCTTCTAATTTTACATGTTTTTGTGATGTTTGTCCTAAAGCTAGACAAACTAGATACCTATTTCTTTTAAGTCAAATCAAAATAAAAAAAGCATTTGAATTAATATATGTTGATGTTTGGGGACCCTACAAGGTCCCTACTTATAATGGATATAAGTATTTTTTAACTATTGTGGATGATTACTATAGAGGAACTTGGATATTTCTGTTAAGCACAAAGAATAATGCATTTGGGGTTTTGAAAAACTTCTTAGTCATGATTGAAAGGCAGTTTGGAGTCAAGGTACAAAAGCTAAGAACAGACAATGCATTTGAGTTTGGGAGAGGCAGTCAAGAATTTGCCTTCCTTTCCTCACATGGAATTCTTTACCAAAGAAGTTGTGTAGCAACCCCTCAACAAAATGGAATAGTTGAAAGGAAACACAAACATATTTTGAAAATTGCAAGAGTTCTATTGTTTCAATCACATGTTCCTATTGCCTATTGGGGAGAATGTTTACTAACAGCTACTTATTTGATTAACAAGTTACCTTCCAAGGTTCTCAAAGGAAGACACATTTTCTGTGTTGTTTAACCAACCTACATCCTATAATCAACTCAAGACTTTTGGTTGTCTATGTTATGTATCTACCTTATCTAATGGAAGAAGTAAATTTGACCCAAGAGCAAAAGCTTGTGTATTTTTGGGTTATCCTCTAGGACAAAAGGGATATAAATTGTTGGAATTAGATACTAAGAAGATTGTTGTATCTAGATATGTTCACTTCTTTGAGGATAGGTATCCTTTTGTTTCTAATCCTACTTCCTCCTCTCCAGATCATATATTCCCCATCTTTTCTCCAACAGATACTACTTACCCTATATCTCCACCAGTTTCCCCTTCACTAAATGCAGACTCACTTGACTCTCCAATTCCTACTAAGGATCAATTACCTCACAACTTCAGTTCACCTAGTTCTAGTAGCACTAGTAAGAGTTTCCCTTCTTCTGCAATCCCAGCTAGCTTTCAGTCACCTCACATTGGTCATTCATCGAGAAACAATACCACATCTAGACCTCATTCACCTAGGAGAAACTCTCATGATCATATCTTGACACCACCTGTACCTAGAAGATCTAGTAGAGAAACTCAATGGCCAAGACATTTCAAAGATTACAGTTGTAATAACATCTTCCTCACTCAGTTTACTGATTCTTGTCTAGCACAACCTGCTAAGCCTAATGTTTACTCTTTTGGAGCCTTATCAGAACATAATTAACACATCATGCAGTCCATTTCAAAAGTACAAGAGCCTGTTAATTATTCTCAAGCCTTTATGCATCTTGGTTGGCAAAAGGCCATGTACTCAGAAATTGCAGCTCTACAAGAGAACCATACTTGGGATGTGGTGCTATTACCTAAAGGGAAGAAGGCATTGCCTTGAAAATGAGTTTATAAAGTCAAGCATAAGTCAGATGACTCAATAGAGATATTCAAGGCTATATTAGTAGTTAGAGGAGACATCTATCAGATGTTTAATGGCAATAGCAGCTAAAAAGAACTGGTCAATCTATCAATTAGATGTGAGCGATGATTTCCCTCTACAAGAGGAAGTTTACATGAAATTCCCTCTAGAATATTTTTCCCAAGTCCTAACCATGTCTGTCTACTCAGAAAGTCTCTCTATGGCTTAAAGCAAGCTTCACGACAGTGGTATGCTTGGTTTGCAGGTGCATTAAGTTTCAAAGGCTATTCTTCCTCTATGAGTGACTACTCCTTATTTTTTAAATGTACTGGGAATCTAACCTCTATTGTCGCAGTGTACGTAGACGACATTCTTATTAGTGGTAGTGATTCTCAAGAAATTACAGAACTTCAGTCATTCCTTAGTACAGAATTCAAAGTAAAAGATTTGAGAAATCTGCATTATTTTCTAGGAATGGAAATTCTCAAGGAAGCACAAGGGATTATTGTGTGTCAAAGGAAATTTACCTTGGATTTATTGAGTGAATTTGATGTTTCCAATTCATCTTGTGTTTCCTCCCCTCTTGAACCATCTTCAAAGCTCAGCACTGATGAAGGACCTTTGATATCCAATCCTACTGTATACTGTCATCTCGTTGGGAAGCTGAATTATCTAACTCACACAAGGCCCAACCTGTCCTTTGTTATCCTTAAGCTCAGCCAATACATGTAAAGTCCTCGACTTTCTCATTATATGGCAGCTACTCGAGTTCTGAGATACCTCCATTCAGATCCCGGACAAGGGATCATTTTAAACTCAGATCCTTCTCTCAAGCTTGTTGCTTTTTGCGATGCCGATTGGGCTTCTTGCCCTGAATCCCGGCGCTATGTTAGTGGATTCTATTTCACTCTAGAAAGATCACCCATCTCATGAAAATCCGAGAAACAAGCCTCAATTTCTTTGTCCTCTAAAGCGGAAGATCGATCCATGCGCCGAGTTGTTGCTGAGTTGACATGGCTAACTCGATTACTTGAGGATTTTTCTGTACCTCCCTCTTTACCTGTTCATGTTCTCTCTGCTAGAAAATCGGCAATTCATATTGCCCGAAATTCAGTATTCCACGAATGGACAAAACACGTGAAATACTGTCATTTTGTCTGGCAACAGTACCTTTCAGGTCTAATTTCACTCTCACACGTTCCTTCCTCGTCACAGCTCGCAGATCTTTTCACCAAATCTCTCTCACGACCAGCTCATAATTTTGCTCTTCACAAGTTGGGTGTTACTTCCGTCCCCTCCAACTTGAGGGGGGATGTTGAGATAATGGACTCTCATGTTGCTTTTTCTCATGGTTCATCTCAGAAGAAGAATGAAGAAGAAAGCTCAATAAAGAAGATGACTACTCTAGTGTTCCCGACAAAGGTGACTTAAGTTCGGAGTTTACAAAGAATGAGAAACATAAAATGTGAAAGGGAATTTGACACGTGGCTCAATCTTGAATGTTGATGATTTAATTGATAGATCAATTCTGAACCGTCCAAATTAAATAAGTGTAGCTGATTTTCACATGCTTCATACATGTGATATATCATTGTAAAGGAATATTTTTCTGTTGTGTAGGTTACTAGTTAGCCAATAGAATTAGAGCAAGTGTATTTGATTTTATCATTTTCTTTTATAATTTATTTACGCTAGATTTTACATATTTAGTGATACATACTTGTATAAATACAGAGCCTTGCACAGAAAGTAATATACAGAAACTTTTCTACTTTTGTCCTATCTTATTCTTTCATAAGATGATATACAAACGATTTATGCCATAAATTAGTTCAATATTTGGATCTGCTTCAGCCGAATTAACTATTAGTAACATATCTTATTTTTGGGATATAGTGATTAATATGTTTTAACTTCGAGCTTAGCAATCAGACTAGGTGCGAAAGGGACTAATTGAGCTTATATAACACATTCCCTTAATTAATTAACCCCTCTTGGTCTGGCCCTTAATTACTATGACAACTCTTTAGTTGTCGATTTAATCATTAGTCAATTTCACAGGCATCATTTTTGAAAGCGAGAGAAAGAGAATTCTCTTCTGCAACTAAAAAAAAGGGTGAGAAATAGTTTTCGTTTCCCTACTAAAAAGGATATTTAAGGAAAAGGAAAGTGTGGGAAGATTGCAAGCATAGACAAGGACGTTTTAGAGCATTTAATTTAGTGAGACATGCCATGAACTATTTTTCCACTTTATTTTATGTCGAAAATGTGAAGAATTATTTTACTCGAATTTTAGAAAGCTGCCCAACTAATTTCTAACTATAGATGGCCATTTATGTCTCCTTTAAACAGAAAAAGGGTCGGAAGACTATTTTCTATATCTTTGAAGCCAACCAAAATTAATGTCCACATGCACATGTTTATTTGTCCAGTTATTTCTTTACGTGAGAAATATATAACTTGAATTTTCATGTTTTGATATCGCTTAAAATCAGGCGAAAGATAAAAAGTAATCTTGAATATCTTATTTTCCCCCATAGAATATATCTCCGTTTCATTATGTAGTGACATTTGATTCCTCTATTCTATAATTGCTGTTGATGTTTTACTTCGCCTTTATTTCCATGTATTTTCATGAATAATAATAATTCAAGTTAATTATAGAAGGAAAAATATCAAGGAACTACTATATTGATCTCTAGAGATTTAGATGTGCAAGACTAATTTGGAAAACGTTGATCCACTTCCATCGTCGTATTTTAAGACATGAGATATGAGATTATTTAATTGGACATATCGTTTTTTCGTGTTAAATGCCAAATTAGTGTAACACAAGTTTATTCAAACATATTCGGTGCTTTATTATGTATCTTAAAATTAAAAATAAACGCTCCCTTGCATGCACGAAAATTAAGTCATGAAATAGAGCAACCTCCTTTGTTATTTGAAATGTACGTGGTGCGAATAATGCAAACTTCCGTAGAAATTTTAGGGAAATTATAGAGACTCATAAACCTTGTATGGTAACTCTCCTTGAAACTAGAATGCGTGGCCATGCTCCCCTCCAACATGAATTTCATTTCAGCAAGATGATCAAAATCCCCGCTGAGGGTCCTTCTGGTGGCTTAGTGATTATGTGGATGCATAACTTGGTGATTGTAGATGAGGTAGCGAGAGTGGATCAAGAACTTCATGCTATGATTAAGGTACTTTCGAATCAAAAACCTTGGCTTTTTAGTGCTTTATATGCCAGTACTACTATTAATAATAGAAATATTATGTGGAATAATTTAGAAAAGTTGCATGAGACTTATGTTGGTCCATGGTTGGTCGGAAGTGATTTTAATGATGTTTTAATGTCTGATGACAAGTGCAGAGGACGCCCTATAAATAATACTAGAGCCTCCAAGATTTGGAACTGTATTAACAAGTGTAAGCTGTTAGATCTTGGTTTTAAGGGATGTAAATATACCTGGTCGAATTATAGGAAAAGAAGTACTGGCCTGATTATGGAGAGATTAGATAGATGTTTTGTTAATGATGAATGGCTTATTATTTATACAAATGCCATAGTAAACCATCTCCCCATAACCTACTCAGATCACAACCCTCTCCTTATTAGACTAAGCCCTAGTTTTAAGAGCAACACTAGCAAACCTTTTAGGCTTGAAACCATGTGGTGCTCCCATCCGGACTTTATCAATATAGTGGACAAATGTTGGAGGAACAAACATCTCTTAGAAGCAGTCAATTATTTTGAGCATGAAGTTACTCGGTGGAACAACGAAGTCTTTGGTAACATCTTTCATAAAAAGCGTAGACTTCTTGCTAGACTTAATGGTATTCAATTCTCCGACAAGTACAATTCGAGCCCCTTTTTACATCAGCTTGAATCTACTCTAGTTAATGAGTACAATAATGTGCTTAGGATGGAAGAGGATTTTCGGAAGCTTCGATCCAGAATTAATTGGCTCAATGAGGGAGATGCAAATACTAGATTTTTTCATATCTCCACCATCAATAGGCGTAGGCATAATAAATTACGCACTTTAATAATGTGGGAAATTGGATTGAAGACCCCGCTCAGGTAGTTGACCATACATTAAATTTCTTTACGGATATTTTCACCACAAGTCACATTAGTTCGAATTGGAAGGGCATCAACTCTAGTATTAGTTCCTTCAACAAATTAAATTTACACAACCTAGACAGACCGATTACTGATCAAGAAATTATTTTCACTCTCTTCTCTTTTAAACCCTTTAAAGCTCCTGGACCAGACGGGTTTTATCCTTTTTTTTACCAAAAATATTGGTCCATTGTTGGTCCTGCGGTGCTTAGTTATTGTAAAAATATCTTTAACACTCAACAATTTCCTGAATTCCTTAATAACACTTTTATCTGCCTTATCCCAAAAATTCCGAATGCAAATGATCTCAAAAACTTTAGACCAATAGGTCTATGTAATACTATCTACAAGATCATTACCAAGATTATTGCTAATCATATAAAGCCCTATTTGGATGAGCTCATCAGTCCTTATTAAGCTAGTTTCATAAAGAATAGAAGAGCTAGTGATAACTCTATTATTATTCAAGAGGTCATTTTCAACTTTAATAAACGAAAAGGTGCTAATCATGGCATGATTCTCAAAATCGATCTAGAAAAAGCTTTTGACAGATTGGAATGATCATTCATCTTTAGAACCCTTCGCTACTTCAATTTTCCTCCTAATATTACTAGATTGATTATGTCTTGTGTTATCACTACTAACATTTCCATTCTAGTTAATGGGACTAGAACTCCTTTCTTTATGCCAACTAGGGGTATTAGACAAGGTGATCCTATGTCCCCTTATATTTTTATCCTATGCATGAAAATATTTTCTAGATATATTAATCATGCAGTTGATTGTGCGAATTGGGACCCTATTAAGTTGTCTCCTAGGAGCCCTCCTTTGTCACATTTATTCTTTACTGATGATTTAACTCAATGACCAGAGCCAATAAAAAATCTTGCTTTACTATTTTAGAAGGCATCAATGTTTTCTGTAATTTATCAGGGCAGAAAATCAATACTACAAAATCAAAAATTATATTCTCCTTAAAGCCCTGATAACCTTAGAACTGAAATCTCTAATTTTTTTGGCATTAATAGCTGCAGCAACTTTGGAAAATATTTTGGATTTCCTATCTTAAATAGACACCCTAAAGCATCAGACTTTCAATTTGTTATTGACAGGATGAGATTCAAGCTAGCCAACTGGAAAATTAGTTGCCTTAGGCAGGCAGATCGACATTGATCTCCTCTACTCTCTCTAGCATACCTAATCATGTTATGCAATATATTCATCTGCCAGTTAAAATTCTTAATCACATTGACAAAATTCAATGGAACTTCCTTTGGGGAACTACTACTACTAAGAGAAAGTTGCATCTTGTTAACTGGAAAACCATCACTAAGCCCAAGCGCCAAGGGGGGTTAGGTCTAGTAAAAGCTTCTACAAAAAATTTGGCCTTGTTAACCGGCTTAGCTTGGAGATTTTTTATTAATCCTATTTCGCTCTGGGCTAACACTCTCATTACGCAATACTCTTTCAAAAAGAATCCTTCAAATAGCTCCTTTATTTGGAAAAATATTCTCAAAGGTTGGTCTATCTGCAAGGAGGCTATTACTTGGGAGATTGGCAATGGTAAAAATATAAATTTTTGGAACCGTAGATGGATCCTTAACCTTCCTCCCCTTTGAACCATTATTCATGGTCCCTTAACCCTGCGCGAAAAGAGCCTTAATATCCGTAATCTTTGGTTTGATGCAACATGGGATCTTTCTTCTATATCTTTCGAATTACCTGATTATTTAAAAAATTATATTACAAGCATTAACATCCCTCATAATGAGCTTTGCCATGATCATCCAATTTGGTCCATCAATGCAAATGGTATTTTGACCACTAAATCCACATATAGTCTTATTGACAACCATGAAAGGTCTGTCAATGACTTTGACTGGATTTGTCATCTTCACACTCAAAAAAAAATCATTTTTTTTCTTCGGCTTTGTTACCATAATAGACTTCCAACTAGAACTTATCTCAATAATATTGACATCAATATTGATAGAACGTGTAAGAGTGCTGAAGAAACCATTACCCATATATTCCTTTCTTGCCCCATAGCTAACAGGTTTTGGAATGAAATTGGTATCAATAATACTAGAATCACGTTGGTGGAGGGCCATTGGATTGATATTGTAAAAAAGTTTCAACCCCAATACCTCTCTTAATGTTAGATTGGCTAGAATTTTTTCCGTTTGCACTTTGGAACCTGTGGATCAATAGAAACAATAAAAACTTTAACAATGACAAACAAGATCTCTCCCTAAGCCTAGTTATTACCCGTGCACAAGAATTTAAGCTCCTTACCTACAATCACTCTAGCCCGACCAACAAAAAGAGCATAAAGGTTAAATGGCATAAGCCAAGGCAAGGTGTTTATAAATTTAATACAGATGGAGCTTATAAAGGCAATGATAAGATTGGTGGTTTGGATGGTATCATCCGAAATTCCACCGGAGATTGGATTGTTGGTTTCCAGGAACATACTCATGTGCTTAATCATACTTACGCCGAACTTCTTGCTTTAAAGCAAGGACTGCAGCTTGCCCATGAAAGAAAATTGAAGCCGCTAGAGGTGGAAACAGACTCGGTGGAAGTAATACAACTGATTCAAAGTAATCATCCTACATATAACTCAATCGTTCAGTTTTGCAGGTGGTTAACGCTCCAGCTAGAGATCCAGAACATCAGGCACAGTTTTCGCTAAGCAAATTTAGTAGCCCATCTCTTGGCAACAGAAAGTACCAAGCTTGCCTATTTCAGCACTCAAGTGAAATTTGATATCGTCCCTCACTTTATGGCTGCCAACTTTCTAGCAGATCAAAGGAGGTCCTCCTTTACTAGAACTATTTCAGAGAATTCTTGTAATAAATTAGCTAATCTTGGGAATATCTGTGCTATAATTGGCACCTCTGTTTTTCTGATAGCTCCTTTAACTCTACAAATCATGGACTCGATCCCATTGGGACTTCCATGATAGAATATTGTAATGCTACTTAGTTTTTGTTAATAAAGTATCCCTGTTAACCAAAAAAGAAAATTAAGTCATGAAACTATTTTTTATAAACAAAAAGTAATTCAACTATATTTGTATCCCCGAAAATGAAAGTGTTGAATATTAAATTTTATCCTACAAATACGAGTAGGCTGTGACATGTATTAAGTTTTCTCATCTTTTATTGAAGTGGAAGTGATCTTAAATATCTACTGCCAAAATAGCAAGGTTAATGATGCTGATTTCTTGATTCATTCCTATGTATTTCAGTGAACTCCTCTCCCGTTTTTCTTTTCCCTTAAAATCAGAAAAGAAAAGGATATATTTTCTGAAGAGTAGTTGGCTAAACAAAAATTTGTAGTTGAGTTTGATTAGTCCAACCGACAGAATTTATTGACGAATTCGTGCTCAAATTCTTCTTAACGCCAATAATATTAGTAGTTGTATATTCCAAACGAATTGATTTTATTAAAGTCAATTAGAGTAGGCTCCCATTTCTGCCTTTTTCATAGGTTTTGTCCTCATTCCTGAACAGTTGCTGTGTCCTTTTCTTTGCAAAATTTGGACTCAAGGTGCATCAAATTTGAATCTACACACCGCTCCCGCTCTAGTATATTGTATGCCGTCAAAATTAAAGTGCACGATTTTAAAGTCTTAAATCGGATTATGGGCTCGAGTCCGGGAAACTCGAAGTAGGTGTCGCATCAGGCTAAGGGACACCTGCCTCGAGGAAGCTGACCAGATGCCTGGCACGAACCGAATCGAGGGCAGCATAATCTCGAAGTCAATCAAGAAAGAGCGGGAATTTCTCAGGAACACGTGGATTAGGGCATTAATTAAAGGATAAGGTTTGTACGAAATGGTACAGGTTCGTACTAGACCGTTATACACCTGTACCAACAGGATTTTTTACCTTTATGAGCAAGGTACTATGCCGGGGGGTTTTCCCCTCCTATATAAAGGGGACCCCAATCATTTTGGGCATCAGATCATTCATTGCAATAGAACATTCTTATTCTTCTCTTGTTTAACGTGCTCATCAATTATTCTTCAGCTTTATTGCCTTTACTTTATTGTTCATACTTTACTGGTCTTAGCTTACCCCGAGATTCCTGTGTAGACGAGCTCGAGGCCCGGCCCTAATGTTTCGACAGCATTGATTTGGTTCATTATTTCTTCTTACTTAAGCTCAATATTACTTATATAATCATTAGTATTAGAATATATCACGTATCTTTAAAACCACAAATTATCTTTAATTGTTACTCACATTTTCCAAGGTAAACAGTTTGGCGCCCACCGTGGGGCTAAGGATAATAGTGATTATTTTAGTGCTAGTTTTCTGATAACACACGTTATTCTTCACACTTTTTCT